CTAGGTCTCCACTCTTTGGGATATGCCGTTCCCTTTCTTTGGACAACGGGCCTTCTCTATGCATTCCTTCCAACACCGCTCATACTAAGAGCGATGAACAAGATCAAATAGGACAAGTCCAGAATTTTCCTTAGAGTACTGACCTGGCTGAGACAAACTTCGTATCCTTACCCGCTTCACCTATGCGTCCAATGGGCATTTAGTCTTCTGACCTTCCTCATCTCTCCTCCCAGGATGCAGGTCGCATGCTTCACTCCAAACTAGGATCCTCTGCCTCTGAACATGGTTCCTAGATGGTTCAGGGGATTAGAATCCACTGCTCAATAGGAGTATAACAGATATTACTAAACAGTAGAAGGAAGTAAACGCAAATTACTTATGTTCAGAAATGGAAAAGGTTCAACCACTGGTATCACTGTCAGTACCTTGTGCCTGAATCATCTTTGCTCTCAGCCATCTTGGATTACCTGCTGGATTTGAAGAAATCAAAGTTATCAGTTATCTCTATTAAGGTTTATCTGGCCACGAGATCAGCATTTTGTTCCTCACTAGAAGGATTTTCTGTATTTGCTCACCCTGTGTCTCAAGATTTAATAGGGATTTAGGGAACCTCTACCCCCAGGTTTAGGGTCTTACTCTTTCTTGGGATCTCAGCCTGGTGCCAGATACCTCATGGAACTTCTGTTTGAACCTATGGCAACCTGCTCCTTGTTTCACTTCTCTATGAAGATGGCTTTTCTAGTAGCTATCACGTCAGCCCACAGGATTGGGGAGACTGGGGCCTTGATGACTGACCCCCCCCCACACACACTCCATTTATGGTATTTTTTTTAAGGACAAGGTCACTTTGTGGCCACACCCTAAATTCTTACGTGAAGTGCGTTTGGATTTTCCTCTCAACCAGACCATCCATGTACTGGTATTTGTTACTAAACCACATAAATCTCAACATGAGACCTCGTTTCATACTTTAGATGGGAGACAGGTACTGGCCTTTTATCTAGCTATGACCAAGCAATTTCAGAAATCACCTAGACTGTTTTTCTCCATTGCAGAAAGATCCCAGGAGTTCACAGTCTCTCCATAGACACTTTCAAGGTGGATCTTTGGGTGGATCTTTGGGTATGTTGTTGCTTGCTACAATGCAGCTGGTGTTCTACCTTCCCAAAGGATAACAGCACTCTGTCAGATCACAGGCAACTTCTAGAGTGTTACTCAAGAACATTCCAGTGTCTAAGATATGTGGAGTTGCTACATGGGCTGCAGTGCATATATTTCTAAACGCTATGCGTTGGTACATGTGTACAGTCTTCAGTCTTGGACTCAATTCTGAAGCTGTAGGGAACTGCTCAGGAATCGCCTGAAGTGGAGTCCCATAGCGACTACTCAAAGATGAAAAGAAAGTTACTCACCTTGTGCAGTACCTGTTGTTCTTTGAGATGTGACTCGCTCTGGGTGCTCCACTACCTACCCTACTTTCCCTCTGCTTTGGATGGTTCTTTGATGGACATTTTGGTAGACAAGGAGCTGAGGGCAGTTTGCCTGCACAGCTCTATAGGTGCTCTGCACGCAACACGAGGGTTGTATACAGCTCATATGCGGCCAAATGGACTCTGCTAAAAGTAAACCTCCAATCAGGGCTTGAGACACATGCATAGCTGAAGTGGAGCAGTCACAGGGGAACACATCTCAAAGAACCACAGTTACTGCACAGGGTGAATAATCTCCTCTTCCTTTGCTGGTTGTCAACATGTTCTATAACTTTATTTAATTAGGAGATGCCATGACAAAATAAACACACACAAATATAAAATTGTACTGCATACAAGTATTTGATACTTTGCCTTTCTGTGAACAACATCCTGTGCATGCAGCTCTGTTCTCTCCCAGGAGCCTGGCAGTTGACTGAAATGCCCTGTAAACATGTGGTATCATACCTTGGGGGGCTCGAACATTTTAGGGTTAGCTCAATATGTAAAATGTGATCTGATGCAGACCTGAGAGGTGTGAATGGCTATCATTCATCTCAATGGGGTTATAATTCTGAAGACTGCAGATGACAATTCCAGTGTTAGCTTTGTTAACTATTTCACGGTTGATCATTTTAGCAGAAACATACTGCTACAGTAACTGGAATTGTGGATAGAATTTGAGTAGAGTACCACCCCAATCTTCCTCCCATGTGAACCCAGCAGGACTTAATGAATAAAAAGAAACCTCTCTCTCATAAACCACACTCTTGCCAGGAAAAGGGAAAGATCAAATCTTTCCTCTAAAACAAACTCCAGGGACTTCACAGCTGTTTGCTGTTATCTTGGCTTTTCTGCTGGCTTTGTGGGTTGTTCATTGATTACTCTTACAAAATACAGCTTCTCAAACTTATGTGGCCAGTACCATTTTCAAAATGTAAAAAAGAGTTTTTCTAAAATATTTCTCTCTTCCTTAACCCCCCCCCCACCCCACCCAACAAAAAATCCTCGTCTTATCTTGTTTGCCTGACTCTATCACTTGTTTATAATTGCTGATTCCATTTTGTGGTGTTACTTTATTCCCCTGATAATCTTTATTTCTACTACTCCATTACTATTTCCAGGACACCTAGTTTCAAGTACAGGCCTATATGCAAATGTGGAAGCAGCAAAGAGACTCTTTCCCTGACAGTGGCTGAGCTGCCTCAGAAGCCAGTGAGGAGATCCCTAGCCTAGGACAAACTTCAGGGTTCCACAGTATGTCAGTTGGTAATCCCAGCTATCACCAGAGAGGAATTAATGGTAGAAATTTTGGTTTTGTCGACACAATGCAGCTTTTAGCAACACAGCTATGCCGCTACAGCCGTGCCACTAAAAGGTGGGCAGCGTAGCCGCTGTTTGTCAGCAGGAGAAAGCTCTCCTGCCGCCAAAAAAACTTCCCCCCCAATGAGCGGTATTAGCGTTGTCGGCAGGAGAGTGCTCCTGCTGACAAAGCGCTGTTCATACCAGAGCTTTTCCTTGACAAAACTTTTGTCTTTCCAGGGTGGGAGGGTGGGGTGCATGGTTTTTTGTTTGTTTGTCTACACGGGCAGGTGAACGACACAACTTTGGTCGTTCACAGGTCTTTAAAAAACAAGCAAACAAAGTCTTAGTGCCTAATCATGTCCCTAATACAACAGGGGCACAGTGTACTGCCAAGTTCTTGCAAAACAGAACCCTATGGGTCCAGGACACAATCCTTCAGAATGTCAGTCTGACGTCCTTTTAAGGTAGAACAAGGCAACAGCTTGTTAGAAAGTTGCTCTGGGGATGACTCAGGGTTGTTTAGTGAAGGAAATTGCCTGCCTCTTCCAGTTGAAAGGTGTGTAATGAATGAGGCAGGAGATTGAAGGAAGAGAAAAGATGGTGTCATGGTTAACACAGTTGAATGCTGACCTGCAGAATTGGATTCTATCCCTGCCTGAGTCAGAGTTCCTGTATGATGCTAAGCAAGTCACTTAAAGCAGCCTTGCTCACAGTTTCAGGTTTCACAGCTCCTAATTGTGTGTTCCTCATTTTTTGGGTGCCTAACTTGAGCCCTTGAGGTCTAATAAGAACTCTAAAAAAATGAGGTCCTGGGCATCTCAGATTTGGCATCCAAAATTAGTGAAACCTTTGACCTTAATCTCTGTGTGCCTAAGTCCCCATCTGTAATAATACCTCTCATCTCACAGGTGTTGTGAAAATACATGAATAAATATTTTGAAGTGCTTGGATACTAGAGTGATGAGAGTGACAGAAAAAACCAAGAGGAAATTAATAATTGTATATTCAGAGAAGGGTTTGAATAGTGTGCAGTAAGGGATCGAACCACGCATTGAAAACACTGAGCAGAAAACAAAACATTGAGTAACTGCTCATTACGTGAGCACCGTCCATTCTGTGAACTGAATGAGGCAGGGGTGCTGTGGAAAAAATATGTGATCATGTAATTAAAGACTCTCATAATGCATGTACACAAGGGGGCTGAATTCAGGTACACAGACAAGCTTATCTGGGCCTAATGCATTGGAACACTTGTTCATGAAGAATTTGTCTTGTGAAAACATGGTTTCAGTAATGATTACAGCTGGTCAAAACTTGGAATTTCTGTTTGGTGGGAAATTTTGACATTTCAAAATTTTTCATTCCAAATTGGAAAGAGAACAAATTTTTTTTTTTTTAATTTGTGTCGAAAAAAATTGTTTTGGAAAACTACAAAATTTTGATTTGGGATTTTGGAATTTGACTTCAAATCTTACATGCTATGCATTACTCCTATAAAAATAAATAAATAAAACTTCAAAATTTTCCAAAATACAAAATTTCCAAAATTCAAATTTTTTTCCTTCAGTTTTTCTTTTTCAGGAAATTTTGTTGAAAATGATACAGTTTAGTGAAAAAATTCAGTTTAGTCAAAATAGCTTTTTCTGAGGAAAAACTGGACTAAAATTTTCTGACCAGCTTTAGTAATAATTCCATGGGTCTCCGTGCTCCCCCTACTTCTGTGCTGAGCAGGCGAGAGCAAAAATGCCACAGAGGGCCCACATGTAAAGGAACTGCAGCTACATGGGACGCTCCTGCTTTCCTTCTGCAAAATAGTTGATGCAGCAGCAGCTGTGTAGGAAAGGGATGATGTTGTTATAGCTTTTTACACTCTACCTACAAAATGATTAATAGGGTACTTTTTTTTTTTTTTTTCAAACCGGCAAATATTTCTTTACATTATTGCTACAGGACCATGGAGTCAAATATTTGGTGTGGTGTAAAGATCTGATATTAAAATAGTGATGTTCATGATGGGCCTTCATGCTGTATTGCATTTAGAGCAGATACTTGAAACTGCCATATGATTAGCTGTATAACTGTTGACATTACTTCTGCAGTGAACTAATTGGCTACACACCTGTTAATCGAATATTTCATGAATTCACTCCCCCCCCTCCGCATATTTTAAAATACAATCCTGCTACCCCATAATATTTGGTGAAAATGGTAATTGTTTCTTTGTAGATGGAGATGGCAGAGGAAGATAATAGTGGGGAAGAATACCCACATGAAATTCATGATTATCTGTCAGCATTTGAAAAGTCTCTTGGTTCTGTAGGTGACATGCTGAAGACTATGATGTCTGTTTCTAGGAGTGAGCTTCTTGAAAAGGTAAAGAACAACCCCCCAGCAGCAACCTTTATTATTATTATTTATTGTTTTATTGTTAATTTTTATTACACTAGCACGTAGGAACCCAATCAAATAACGGACAGTCCCTGCCCCAGAGACCTAGTATTTAAATAAATCTTTTCACATTTATAGAACACTTCTCATTTCAAAGTGCTTCACAATCTATATACTTATAAAATAACACTGAAATGTAGCAAGTGCATTAGCCAACTAGCACACAGTAGTGGGTCAGTAGGGTCATTTAGGCCAAGGATGTGAGGGCTTATCCCCACCCCTATGAAAAAGGCCATAGTACTGTCCCCCAAGAGTACAAAGAGGAGCTATTTTTCCATAGTTTTATGTGAAAGACCTTCACACAGTAAATTTTGTTGTTCTCAATTTATTATTGAGATATATATATTTAGGAAGAATGAGTTGACTCTGGAATTTGAACTTTTGGTTCCAAGGAGTACAGAACTTGATGCTTAGTCCACTATGCTATCCCTTCCAGCACTATTAAGAGCAGATCTAAGGGAGTCTGTAGAACATATCTTTTTCTGCATGTAGCTTCAGTGCAAGGTGTACTGTCAGAGGACTTCATACAAGCAGCTATATATTTTTAACATTTAAAACTGAATTTGTAATTTCTTTCTTTGAGGCAAAAAAGCTCATATGTAAGGGAACTTGTTCATCCATTAAGGATTCCTAACATGAATAAATTATGAAGAAATCAGTCCTGACAACACCAGTCTTTTGACAGTATCCATGTTAGAGCTGGTGGTCTGTATGATGTTATCAGAGTTCCTGGAAATCCTGTAGGATTAAAACAATAAATTGACTTTGACAGTCAAAAAAAAAAAATCTCATTACCCATTTCTTCTTCCTTTGATGTACAGCCTAAAGTGTTCCAACATGCCTAGAACACATCATCTAATGTGTACAGTGTTCAAGGTTGTTAATTGTCTGTGGCATACTAACCTTCTATTATAACTTTAAATGGATTTCAGTAATTTTTTGTTGCATTCTGAATTTCTGTACAGTTTTATTTTGGGGTTAGGGAGAGTTGTTTTGAGAGAAATCCTGGTGATGAAATGTGATCTTTATCCTGAGAGGTCAGCGTAGCAGGTGCTCAGTACTTCTCAGCAACCAGCTCCATCACCTTTTATTAGCCTGTTGCATTTAATGTTAGACTGGATAAAAAGTCAGTAAATATACAGCGGGGAACAATCCTGCAGAGAGAGACTTTGATGACTTAGGCATGGTCTACACACAGTTTTTGTCTGATGTAACTATTTCCGTTGTGGGTGTGAATTTCTCTACCGAAATTAAATCAGTACAGTCCTTAGTTATATCAGTATAAAGGTGCTTTATACCAATATAGCTTATTCCCCTTCCCTCATGGGAATAAGCCATCCTGGTAAAACACACTGTATTACTTTAACTGTCCCAGTAAATTTAAAGCAGTACAGTTCTTGTGTGTAGGCAAGCCCCTGAAAAATATTTCCCATCTCTAGTTTTATGATAAAAGTTCTCCTGGTAGCTAAATTACCTGTATTAACAGCATATTTAAGGACAATTGATTGCAAAACCATGTACCATTGGTTCTTGGTCACAAATATATCTGTATGGAATTATACTGTGTATATTACTGAAAGCTACTATACATCTTTGTTAAAAACAGTGCAGAAGCAAATGATCACATTTGTTTGTTTTTTAAGTTGGACCCTCTTGAACAAGCAAAATTGGATTTGGTTTCTGCATACACGTTAAATTCAATGTTTTGGGGTAAGTATGCTGGAGGAGGGTGATAAGAGGAAGCAGAGTTTATGGTGGCCATTTTAACTTTTTTTTTTTTTTTTGGATGGTTGCAAATTTTAAATAATCAAATTCTGTAGTTAAATATCTAAGAACCCAAGTTTGCTATTGTCCTTCAATCAGGGTAAGTGATGCTGAAATTCTAAATTAAATTAAAGTTGTTAATTACATAGACTAGCAACAGATATGTAAATGAGGATGTTGGGGTTTTTTGGCAGCCTCTTCTGTCCTTTTTGGCTAACCATATTAGATTGGTACTGGAGTACTTGATTAGAATATTTTTAAATATAGATATTTGAACAGAGCAGGTAGGCTCCAATCCTGCAAACGATCACATGTGGACACATCAACTCATTTGTGTATTGTCAGCTGCAGGATTGGGACCTTAATGATTCCTGCCCTTAAGTTCAACAAAACACATTTTCTTCTTGCAGTATACCTGGCCACTCAAGGGATCAATCCCAAGGAACATCCAGTGAAACAAGAGCTGGTAAGATTCCCATATAAAATGCATTGCAAAATCAGATTTGCCTAGGGCAAGTACTTATTAATTTTAAATCTACATTTTTAAATGTATGTAAGTTCAGTCTCCACGCACTGGTGTAGTGTATGCATGGCATTGTATAACTGTTGATATAAGATGCTTAGCTCTCCAAATTACGAAAGTCATGATATTTTTAGTTCAAAACAGTGTCATCTGTGGAAAGCAAAGTTGTCAAGTCTGGTAAAATTAGAAAAGCAGAATAATATAAAGAGTGTCATCCTACCTTCCCTTTTCCCCCACCTTTTGTTTGAGAATTGGATTCTGAGCAGACCAGCTTTTCACTGTATCTGTTGAACAGAAAAATGTTACATGTCTAATAGTAATTTATAGTTTCCAGTATGGTGTTTTTTCCCTATAAATACTTGGAATCATGTTAATCTGTGAGGCTGCCTTTTCTGACTTTTGTGTGACTAAAAGAATAGTGTGGTTGATTTACTAGCAAAGACGGGAAAGATGCCCCCCCTTTTTCCAGTTCCTCCATTAATTCATTTTCTCAGCAGTAAAGAATCCAGTTCAGCAACAAAGCTAAAAGCTTTTTTGGCATCAGTTGTATGTGTACTGTCCAGTAATTCTGCATTAGTGACATATTTACAACCTATAATAAATCTTTTAGGTTTGTCTTTATATTCCATTTAGATACATGAGTACAGTATATAAGATCTGCTATCTTGGAAATTCTGCTGACTTCAAAAATCAAATCATTTAGTTTGAAGAAAATAATAGAAATATTATACTAATACTAAGATTAAAAATAGAAATAATTATGCCCATTAGAAGTGCTTATGTAAATAATAATAATAGATCGGTGTTGTATGAATATATTTTACTTATATATATTAGTAAATGCACAAAGGTAATTCTACATAATCAAGGTAATAGTGCTTATGACTGAAGAATACAGAAAACTACTCTGAATATCAAAAGAACGTGTTCTATTTATAATTTGGATTTTGCAGTCTGTAGTGGATCATGGAACAAAAATTGGATTGTTAACTTTTCATGGTGATTGTTTCTGCTCCTTCTTACACTATATTGGTACAAAAGCATTGCACTATTTTAATCTATTCTTTAAAAATATACAGCATACAAATCTAAAGCAAATATTTACTTGACAATTGCTGATGGTTTTAGTTGAAAGTAGATTATCTTCTAGTTTCTCATCCAGTTTCTTTTTACAAGTAACAATGTGAATGAATAAATGTTTCTTTCATCCAAGAGTAACGTTATCTTATCACTCATGTGGAAAGGGCAATCAGAAACAGTTACTTTCCCACTGTTTTGTTTTTAGAACTCTGCTCAACATGTACCTATAGGTAATACTTGGGGTTTCAAATTATATAAATGAAACTCTCCTTCCAGCTGTCAGAGTTAATTTTTTCTGTCACCTTGTTGCGATGTTTCTGTCAACTCCTTTTTTGCTTTGCTAATATGTGTCGGGTTGCTATCTGTTCTGATTAGCTATCTCAGTCATACTACAGAAATATAACAGCGTACCATAAATTCATACCCTGTAAAGCTTAACGAGTTAAAACTACACCTTTTACATGGGAACATTGGCCAACATTTTCAGAGATCAGTTTGAGATGTGGGTTCTGATCATTCTTGAAAAACAGGTAAAGGACTTTAGAGATCCAAGGTAGAAAATGTTGGCAATGCGTGTATATGACAAACATGCTGCATGTTAATATATGTATTATCTGTGTATGCAAAATGTATATATTTTATTTATTGTATATAATTCAGGGAATATGTAAAGTGCTACATAATGGCTGTTCATTAACTATTTGTCTAAGGTCTCATGGGATGCCTGTGGGAGAGCTGACAATTCATAGAATATCAGGGTTGGAAGGGACCCCAGGCGGTCATCTAGTCCAACCCCCTGATCAAAGCAGGACCAATCCCCAATTTTTGCCCCAGATGCCTAAATGGCCCCCTCAAGGATTGAACTCGCAACCCTGGGTTTAGCAGGCCAATGCTCAAACCACTGAGGTATCCCTCCTCCAGTTGAACTAGATCTGAGTCCCACAGGACCATCCTTCCTGTGTGTGTTTGTATAAAATACTCATCCCAGAATAATCAAGAGTTTCTTTTAAAAAAAAAAAAAAGTCATGCTTTCTTGGTTTTGGTTGGGTAGATTAAAATTTTGGAGATATATATTTTATATTTATATAATGCACATATGGCTTAATTTTGCAGGCTTTACTTGGGCAAAATTCTTATTGACTTCAGTGGGTATATGACCTTTTTAAGGATTGGAAGAGTAGGTCCCAAGGTTGTAATAGCATTAGACAAAATATTACAGGAATGAGGACCATACCGATGCCTAGATATATAAAGATGTTTGAAGTTGTACTACTAATGGCCGCATATGCTTATTGGTACAATTACCATGTGTTGCAGAAAATCTGCTAAAAGGGCAGTCTTGAGTTTGCAAAGAATCCACTAGAGTTTGAACAGAGATGAAATATTGTATTCGGCTGTATATTATGGAATGCATCATGTTCTGTATGCTTTGTTCTCACTGATCTCTATTTTAATAGTACATGTCTTCACAGAATAATATCGGGTGTGCTTTTTATTTAATATCTTGCAGGAGAGAATAAGAACGTACATGAACAGAGTCAAAGAAATAACAGACAAGAAAATGGCGTCCAAACTGGATAAAGGAGCTGCAGCAAGATTTGTAAGAAATGCATTATGGGAACCAACACCTGAAAATAATCCTAAAGTGAAAACTTCTGCTAAGGCAAAAAAGAGAAAAATGAACTAGTTTTTTATTTTCCCTTTGGTTTTATTTTTGTTTATCAGGTAGGGAGATAACTAGAAAATTATTTTTTAAATTGTGTTTTGTATATGTTTTGCATCACATAACTGATGAAGTAAAACAACAATTTGGTGAATATATCTTTAGCAAAGATCTAAACTGTAGGGTCACGTTGCACAGCTTCTGCTGAGTTCTCACCTGTATATACACATGTATATCTGAAAGTGAAAGTTGGTCCTTGGAGATTAGCTTGAAAGCTTGGCTCTTTAATGAGAACGAACTAATCATTTTTGCCAACTCTTTGTAATAATATGCTATTTCATGATTTGCTTCTCATTCTAATAATTTTGGGGGTAATTTTTGACTGGCTGAAACTGTATTTTCTTAGTTATTGCTAAATTTAATATCCGAATATTCAGCCAGTCACAAGTGATGGACATCTAGTCTGTGTGAATTGTTTATGTAGGAGCCACTGGTTTTCAAGTACACCTGTGTATGTAATGCTAAATTCGTAGAGCATACTATCCTTTGTATTGCTTATATTAAATATACATGATGCCTCTTTTTCAATCTCTCAACTTGAATTAAGTGCTGTTTATGGGCTTTTAATGTTTCCATGGCCTTTAAGTATGGATGAGAGCTTAGTGCTGGCACTGCAAGATGGACAGGTTAGCAGGGATTCACTTTGGGAATGGTGGGAAGCGCGGTCACGTTTTGCTATTCCCTTTGATGCTGAGTGTGAAAAGTATTCTCTAGTACGGTAAAAAGTATTGAAATACTGGGCAAATACCCTGTTTTATATATGCCTTGATTAATTTGTACTCCTTGTAGGAGCGTATGCATTCTTAATCTGTTGGGAATTTGTTCAGGAGAACCTGTTAGTTCATGTTTCCGTACACTGCAAGCTCACAAATGAATAGTACAAATTTTGGGTTTTTTTGGCGGAGAAGGTCTGCTGTTATAGGATAGCTGTGTTGGGGGTCGGGGGTAAATGCCTGTGATTAGGCGTGCTCTGATTTGAAGGGTGGAAGTGCTGACATCGGGGATGGGATGAATATAAGTGAAGTGTCACTACCTGCTTGCAAATGGAGAACCCAGTATCAGACATACTGGGTTAAATATACTGTTTCCCTGCACCTTGTATAATTAAGACCTCAATCTTGCAATTTACAATGTACTGGCATTAGAGGCATTCCTGCACAGAGTCCTTTGACTTCAGTGGGGGCTTCTTGGGCACACAGGAGTCTGCCCGTACGTTGTAAATTGCAGGATTGGGGCCTCGAACTGGGGCAAAGTGAGTGTAAAATTCTGTCAAATCGGAATGGGTAGCATTTTACAATTGCTTTTCACCAGTGTAAATGACAATGCAAGGTACAGTGCAATGGTGAATTGGGCTCACTGAACCAATCCTAACAATCTGTGATTCACCTGTAATTTACATTAGGTCTCTCACCTGTTAATGTGAATGAGCAAGATACACTGAATTTCTCCGTTACACATAATTGAAAGCTATTGGATGTGATATGGAAAGTTATTGTTCTCATAGTTATCCTGAAGAATTACACCACCATGTGCTTACATATAGTCTAGACTGATTAGAGTGAGATGTTGTAACTAAAGCTATATCTCCGTTGACCATTCAGAAATCTGTTTTTAAAGGGAAATGTTTTGATAAACTGTCCAGTTGTCAGAGTAGCAGCCGTGTTAGTCTGTGTTCTCAAAAAGAAAAGGAGGACTTGTGGCACCTTAGAGACTAACAAATTCATTTGAGCTTAAGCTTTCGTGAGCTACAAATCACTTCTTTGGATGCATTCCAGTTGTGTTTATTAAGCACAAATGTTATTAGTTTTGTATGTTTAGAAAATGGCTCTGTGAATGTTATGATGAAGAATAAACAAGCCTAATTAAATATGTAAATATCTTTTACGCTGATTTCTGGAATAATTGCTACTGTTCTAACAAAGGATTTTCCTCCTCCCAATGGTCATTCGCAGGCATAACTTTACTGCCACAAGTAGTCTCATCAATTGTCCATGGGGCCACTCACATGAGTTATGTGTGTTAAAGGTGCATGAATGTTTGTTTGCTGGATCAGGGCCAAAATAAGGACGCTCAATTCCCTGTGAAAACGGGTATATTTATGTATAACTGAATAACTCAGTCATGCCTCATCTTTGGCTTAGCGTTATACCATTTTTATTCTTAAGATATTTTCACAACTATTTAAGCTAACGTATAATAAAAATCAATGGTGTAAATCAGTACTGTTTGTAATAGGTGTGGGGGGAACTTACTCCCTTTGGAAGTCTGTTTGTCCTTTTCAGGGCCTCCTAGGTCCTGGTCCTGCAATGTCCTCCATGTGGATGGACCACTCTGCAGGGACCCATTGACTTCAGTGGGGTTCTGTGTGGGTGCAAAGCTCAGCAGGTACATAATTTTTTGCAGGATCAAATGTTAGTCTAAAATCTTAAGTTCTAAAGCCAGCCTGAGGTGTTGACCAATATATGCTATGCTTAAAAAATATGCTTAACATATTGATATTCTGTGTTTAATGCATATTAATATATGTGGTATCAATAATACATACTGATAGGATTTTTAAGTGTGTGTGTGTGTGTATATATATATATAAATCACTATCAGTATGTATTATTGATACCACATATATTAATATGCATTAAGCACACAATAGCAAAATAACATTACATTGTACTTATATTTCTAGCAGTTACGTGGCTAATTCAGGCCATGATTAATTGAGACCATTCAGCAGTTATATAACTAATTCAGGGCACTCAAGCCAAATATTGTGTGCTCAATGTAGATTAATATATGTGGTGTCAATAATGCATACTGATGTGATTTTTATATGCATATAAAATCACATTACAATATATATGTACATAAAATCACATCAGCAATGTGTATTATTGATACCACATTAATATGCATTAAGCACACAATATCAAAATAACGTGCATATAGATTTCTAGCTGTTACATGGCCTGAATTAGGCTATGTTTTTTTATAATCCTGTTCACTTATGCTAAGAGTCCCATACTTCACAAATCTGAAGTTCAGCTCTGGCATTAGAAAAGAAACTTGTCCAAAGACAAAATAGCTTAATGTTCTACCAGGACACAAGCCGAGGAGGAACCTTCATGTACAGTACCTCGAATGTTAGTATCCAAAACAAAGATAAGGAAGGAGCAGAACAAGAAATTAAGGAACTAGGACGAATTGGTGGATTAGATTTTAGCGACGGGTAAAGTTTCATAATTTGTAAAATCGTCCTATAAATACTCCTAGCTAAAATATGTAACTTTGGGGCACACCTTCTGTGTAAGGTGAATGTAACAACTGTGCACAAGACAACTTCCTGGAAATTGGTATCATATTGAACCTTTCCTCCTTTACTAAACTATTATTGACTTTTAGCAGTAATCCTGGCTGACATTGGTTTTTAGGCTCTTGAATGTATTTCATACGAAACCAAAGTGTGGTCAAACAATTGACTATACAGTTTATCAACAGAGACATAGGATAGTCATGCAGGAGATCAGATTTCTGGGCCAGACCAATAGTCCTAAGTACAGAAACTAGGCCTATGGTACAGTGCAAAGAGGATGGTCATTAATGCTCTGTTTACTTAATTCTCATCTCTAGTCAGCCTGTGTACAGTAATACTCCTGGGGGAATTCTGTGCCACTGCACATGCGCAGAATTCATGTCTGGCACAGAATTGTTTCTTCAGAAAATACATTCTGCCCAAGAAGTACTGCAGTTCTACCTTTTGCCCATCAGAGGCCACTGTGGCACCAGAACAGCCAGCAGCATGAACACAGCCAGATGCATTCTGGTCTGGTGCCACAGCGCCTCTGTGGGCAAAAGGCAAAACTGCAGCACTTCTTGGGCAGAATGTATTTTCTGTCGGGGTGGGGGGGAATTCTGTGCATGCGTGGTGGTGCAGAACTCCGCCAGGAATAGAAATTCATCACAGCACCATGCCCATGGAGCCAGGATAGGACAGGCAGAGTGGGGCACACGGGACTGCTGGGGAGGGGGTCACAGACAGGTTCAGAATGGTTAGTGCAGGGGACAGACTCAGATACAGGCTCAGGAGCTAGTGGGATAATACCATTGAACCAGAGGCTAAATGGGAGTGGGGGTGCAAGGCCACATCAGGGCCGGGGGCGGGGAGGGCTGCAGGGACACATGGGGATGGGGGGGCATATGGACAGAGGCAGATGTGCCTGACTCAATGGGAGAGGCTTGGGATCAGCCAGGGTCTGCATGGGGGAGGTTCCCCAACTCCCTAACGATCCCACACCCCCTCCAAAAAGAAACTGTTCTGTACTTCTCCCACCCACACCCAACAACCCTCCAGGTTCACTCCAGGCTCCTTCCCTCTCCCTCAGCTCCTCTGTTAACCCTGACTCCCCCAAGCTTTTTCATTGCTTCTGATGGGTGCGGGAAATGTGTTTCTGTATTGTAACTTAAATAAATTACTCAAAGTTCTGTATTAATATGCCTCGTAACGAACATATTTGTCTATAAAATTACCAGAATCTTTTTTTGTCTGTATTGTTGTTGACAAGTATTTTGAAATAAATTACCAAAATAATTGAAACTGGCTTGATTATATTGTCGTTTTGACAAAATATGCAGAATTTTTCAGAATCTTTAATTTTTTGGTGCAGAATTCCCCCACGAGTAACAGTAGGGAGCCAGCTGTACTTTTCAGTCATAGGGAAACCAGCAGGATAGCAGCAATCTGAAGGGAGGGGGGAAAAAGAATTTGCTAGGGAAAATTCTGGGAAGAAGCTTCCTGAAATTTCAGATATCTAGTAAAAGTAAGAGAGGAATAGTCTTGGGGAAACAGGATTGGTTAGCTAAGTACTTGGCAGCAATTGCTTACTAATGACTTAAAATCATAGAAATATAGGACTGGAAGCTACCCCAAGAGGTCATCTAGTCCAGTCTCCTTGCCCTGAGACAGGACTATATATTATCTAGACCATCCCTGAAGAGTGTCTAACCTGTTCTTAAAAACCTCCAGTGACGGAGATTTCAACCCCCCTTAGTAATTTGTACCAGTGCTTAATTACCTTTACAGTAGGAAGTTTTTTCTAATGTGTAACCTAAGTCTCCCTTGCTACAGTTTAAGCTGATTTCATCTTGTTCCGTCCTCGGTGGTTAAGGAGAACAATTATCACCCTCTTTATAATAACCTTCTATGTATTTGTTCCACTGCTATCATGCCCCCCTTTCTGGCTTCTCTTCTCCAAAGTAAACAACTGCCCCCCCCATATTTGCTCATAGGTCATATTTTCTAGATCTTTAATCATTTTTGTTGCTCTCCTCTGGGCTTTCTCCAGTTTGTCCACATCTTTCCTGAAGTGTGGTGCCCAAAACTGGACAGACTACTACAGACAAGGCTTTAACACTGCTGAGTAGAGTGGAATAATTACTTTTCGTGGCTTGCTTACAACACTGCTAAAACATCCCAGAATGGTGTTCACTTTTTTTGCAACATTGTTACATTGTTGACTCTCACTTAGTTTGTGATGCACTGTAACCCTCAGGCCCTTTTCTCTCTCTAGTACTCCTTCCTATGTCATCATTTCCCATCTTGTATTTGTGCAATTGATTATTCCTTCCTAAGTGGAGTACTTTCCATTTGTCCTTACTGAATTTCATCCTATTTATTTCAGATGACTTTTCTAATTTATCACGATCATTTTGAATTCTAGTCCTGTCCTCCAAAGCGATCACAACCCCTCCTAGCTTGGTATTGTCTGCAAACTTTATAAATGTATTCTCCATGTCATTATCCAGATCATTTGTGAATATATTGAATAGAACTGAGGCCAATATAAAATACTAACTGTAGGCCCTGGTAATCAGTAGGGTTTATAGTTTCATATGCAAGTGTAGCAGGGTGGTTTCACTTGAATACTGAAGTATTAAAAAATATCCCAATTAAGTGTTAATCATTACTGAATATTACTGAAGGTTAAATATCTCCACAGATAAAATGTAAACTCTGTACCTTCCCAGGCAATAGATGGTTGTAAGAATCTAACTTTCAAGAAACTCACAAATTACCCTTGGAAAGAACAGAACACGCATTTTAAAATGAACCTTTCTGTGTAAAGCTTATTAACTTCATTAAAAACGGAAGGACACTTTGTTCCTGTAGTGCAGGGATCGGCAGCCTTTGGCACGTGGCCTGCCAGGATAAGCCCCTTGGTGGGCTGAGCTGGTTTGTTTACCTGCCGCGTATGCAGGTTCGGCCAATCACAGCTCCCACTGGTTGCGGTTTGCCGCTCCAGGCCAATGGGGGCCGCGGGAAGCGGCATGGGCCAAGGGATGTGTTGTCCACCGCTTCCCACAGCCCCCATTGGCCTGGAGCGACGAACCATGGCCAGTGGGAGCTGCAATTGGCCAAACCTGTGGACACCGCAGGTAAACAAACCAGCCCGGTATTCCAAGGGGCTTACCCTGGCGGGTCGCATGCCAAAGATTGCCGATACCTGGTGTAGCATTATATTGTGGAAATTTTCTTAAACTCCTCTTACAACATGATTTTCTGAATTTTCCTTTAACCTTTTTATTATAACTGTGTGTTATAAAGGGAAAATTACAGGTAGGGACCATAATTCAACCTTCAGCTAGGTGCACAGAGTGACAGATAAATGTTTAATAGGAAGTAACAGGACTACTAACTGCCAACTGCTGCATGGGTAGCAGATAATTGTCAGTTCTGGGTGCAATAAATCACCTTGTGGACAAGTAGTTGGCAGTCAAGCACATGTGCCATGGTAAGTGATGTCACCTTATTATATATGGGTAGGAACCTACAAAGTTTTGTGTAGGTCTGTAATACTCCCCCCTGGAGACAGGGATTGGTTTGTGTGGATGTTTTAAAGTTGCCAGCTGTGGGTTTTTTAATCTGTTGAGTATTGGACCTGCAGAAGCGCATCTTTCCTCAAATTTTCTGTGAGTAGGACTTAAGGAGTAGCGTTCCAGCCAGCAGACATTTCAGTTTAGTTCTCTCTTGTGAAATAGGCTGAGATATGCAAGACAATAAAAATACTTTGTACTCATGGCACCAAGGATCTCAAAGCACTTTACATACAGTTGAGCCTCCAAATGGTTAGTTTCATTGACTGGAGGGTAAACCTGAGGCACTGAGTGTGAAATGACTTGCCCACATTTATGTATTCTGTTAATGATGGAGACAGAACCAGAACTGAGAATTCTGGGTCCCATCCACCATAATCCGGTATTCTGATCCTCCTCACACAGCCCAGTTAAAGGGGCCTTTCATGGGAAACTACAGGGGTACTGGAGGTAAAAGACTCTTCACCCTTCTCCCTTCCCAAAACAGGGGGCAGGGCTAGAAGAATGTGCAGACTTGCTGTAGCTGAAATAATAGCCCCTAAGGTGTCATAGAAGATGCAGCCTGTTGTCTGTGGACCCAGTAGTCATTCAGCTGGAGCTGCCCACAAACCCTCTCTTCCTGCCCCACAGGCTCCTTTAGAGTGAGTTTGTCTAGGAGGCTGCGCAGTATCTAGGAGGCTGCCAGATTTTGCTCTCTGATTTCACTGGTGTAACTCTGGAGTAATACCATTGACAGTAGCATTCCTCTAGATTTATGCCTGTGTAATACAGAGAAAACTTTGGCCCTGTGTCTCAGGATTGGTCCTTTTGTCTCCCCATGACCGGCTAATACAACAGGCAATAACTACTATCTCCATTGTCGTATTGGGCAGTCCAAACAAGTAAACTGTTGCCAGTTTAAAAATCTATTTGTTTTGCTTATTAGTGGAGTGCAGTGTTAATGATCTGTTTTGGTTTTTTTTTAAATATTAACACTAAATACTGGAAACTGACTTTTGAGCATACTAAGCAGTTAATAACTGATAGCAGTACCTTACGGCTAACCTGTTCTCAGATGCTGAAAATGTAGGATGAGTTTAATTAACTTTAAGTAGGAATAGAGATGTTTCCTCTGTTAACTTACAGTGCTGTAATTACGTACCTTCCACACAATCTGCTGTGATTGGCAGGGTCTACACCAAATAATGTTAGCAGTTAACACAGAGTTAAACTTGGTCTGTCAGCCAAACCTGCCTCTTCGTTACTGTCCACGGCAAAGAAAGGGTTTAATTTCAGTACGTAGTATGTAGAAATGATATTAGATTTAAAATCAAACACTAGGACTTTGTTACATTAACTGTATTTAAATGCTTCTGTTACCTCTGCTGCACAGGGTAAGGAATTGCCATTCATAAGGACTACAAATGAAATGGTTTATTCTTGATGCACACAGGTTTCTTGTTCATTTCAAACCGGGAAATTGTCAGGTATTAATTTTGCTTATTTATTTAAGCAAAATTGAATATTTAAATTAGAATGGGTTCCACTGAAATCAACGGCAACTCACCCTTTAGTATGTATTCTAAACCCCGAAATAGTCTATTTCTGAAACCAATTAGGATTGCTGAATGGCAAACCACATACTTAGCTATGGTGTTATTCCCAAAAACAAGCACTTAACAGCAAGGACATTGCTAATTAAGGCATCATAAATCTTATACTGCCCACGTAATAAACACACACATGTATGCAGTATAAAGAAATGAATGTTTTATCTCAATGCAACAATCTTAACTATGGCACATGGGTGTTTTTCTGTATGTTGCTTTATAGAGAGTTTTTTTTTTATCTTGATTTTGCTATTCAAATATTTACTTTTTAGGGGTAGTGTTAAGTGTTAAGTATAAGTGTAAGTTTACTTAAGTGTTAAGTGTAAGTTTACTTAAGTGTTAAGTGTAAGTTTACTTAAGTGTTAAGTGTAAGTTTACTTAAGTGTTAAGTGTAAGTACTTTTTAGGGGAAGTATTAAGTATAAATATAGTTCCCGACAAGTTCTACTATCAGTTAATAAATTACTTATAACTGCTCTTTCTTGATGGTACTTTTAATGTAGGCTAATAGGAAAAGTGTGTAACGCTATTGATTTATGGTAAAATTATGTATGTTTATGGACTTGTCATTAACATGCGTATATATTCTTTCAGTGGGTTTTGTGTTTATATTCTGAAGTTACCGATGAGAGAATAGTACTATTATTTATTTTTTGTCAGTGAAGATTGTGTTGTGATAAAATATGTACTTAATGTATGCTTGATAAGAGTGTGTGTGTGTGTGTGTGTGTGTGTTATGTGGACAGTGTAAGATTTGGGATCCTTCATGAAGAATGTCCATGCTTTCTAAGTGTTTGTATTATGAACATTCTGTGATAGGTTAGTATGTAGTAGGTTAGCAACTATAACTTGTTTTGAAATAAAAAGTTGTTTGTTTGGAATTTTTAAAAAACAAAGTGTTTCCTTTTTCATTTGTGTGGATGAATGAAAATGCAGCTTTTAAATTAATGGGGTGGATGAGTCACCAGATTATTAAATTAAAGGAATGAGTGGTAGTAGACAGGCTCTTGTAGAACCCTGCTTTTTCACCATGTGCCTGACTTAATACCATGTCCAGTACATATCTAAGGGCCTGATTCAAAGCTCACTGAAATCTATGGGAAACTTTTCATTGACATCAGTGGTCTTGGGATTGG